GCGCCGCGCACTCCTACACACGAGAAGCGGGGAGAGGGGGGCGGTGGTTTACACACGGGGCAAATACACGCGGTGCCAGGGTTGGGGCACGGCGCAGCCCAAGCCCTCCCGAGCCTCGGATTTCTGCTCGTATGTTCCCGAAACCGTCTTCCCCCACCAGGGGTTTCTGCTTAGGAACCCACAGCAAAAGGCAGAGGAGATGCGTATCTTGTAGGCCGACTACCTCCGAGATGCGCACACGTCCCCCGCCTGCCATCTGACTTCAGTCCAACACAGAGCGCTAGTGCCCCGACCTCCTTTACTAGCTTGATCCCTGGGAAGGAACACCTTTCCCCTGGATGGCCGCAAAAAGGGGCTCAACTGTCTGTCCAAACTGTTTAGGCTAGGAGGGAGAGCAAACTCTCTTCCCCTGGTCTCCATTTCAACCTTTGGTCTAAATCCGTTGACTGTTTTGTTCAACACACACTAAATCTAGCAGAGGACATAGGGAATGCAGGGAAGTTGAGGTGATAAGATTTTCTCCGGAGTGGGCCCTTGTACAAACCGTGGTGACAAAACATCTGGCAGGTGTTTGCTGCTAGTCTGCACCAGGACAGGAACAGGGAAGGAAGCTCAGAGTCATCTTTAAGTATTGATCAAGTACAGGTGACAAAAGCAACGTTCAGGACACAGGAATCCAGAAAGCAAAACATACCACATAAAAACTGGTGTTTGTACTATGCACTGAAACTCACTGGGTTCAGTTATTCTTAGGGTAATGGCAAGCAGCGGCTTTAACTAGGCACATCTACACATGAAGCCACTTTTTCTAATGTGCATTAAAATTTAGTACTTCCAGTGTGAGGTACTAAAGAAGTGTGCATTAGGCTGCCTTAATGTGTGGTAATGAATCTTCAGTAATGAATGTGCATGGTTTTTAAGTGATGCTTAATGCACAGTAGCCTATTTTACATGATCTCATGGTTTTTTATGTGACACTTTAATGCGCAGTAAAAATAGACTACTGAGCATTAAAGCACACCTGTACATGCACCTACTAGTTGCAATTGACCAGTGCACCAAAGAGGCTTGTGTTTTCTGCCAAACAGTACTTTTTTATCAGACAGAGCTGGCTTTGGTGAACTGATTGCATTTGTTATGAGCCAGGAAAATGCGCGCAGGAGGGAAAATAGGAGGGCTCCCCTGCAGAGTGAACGAATTACTCCAAGAGGAGGGGGGTAGCAAGGGAGAAAAAAAGAAAAGACGGCTTCAGGCAACTAGTAAACTCCAAGGCCTAAGAGACAAAAGCACTGGTTTCCAGAGCCAGGGGTTATAGGCTTAAGTCACATCTAGAATTAAAATGTACTCTATTCCTGTTTATTGTAAAGCAATCTTCATTTAAAAAGGATTAGACAGGGAGAGGTGGTTGGGGGTCCCTCTCTGGACTGAGTGATGATGAGGCCAGGGATTTTTTCGCAAAAAAATCAACTCCCATCACAGGAAATATGTTCAAATAAAATACATTGTCTAAAGTGCCACCGACTGACACTGAATGTTCAGGACAACACTTGTGGTACCCATGTCTTGTTATGGGCTTTAACTGATCTCTCCTAAATACCTTGAAACATGTAGAAGGAAGCACCCACGAAGGCCAAACATTATAAACTGGATTGCAGATTTCACTGTTTTTTACATCAAGGTGATGCCACTTGTGCAAAAAGTGAACTGCATGTACATTTGTAAATATGTCTTTACCATAAATTATAGCTGTGTATGCTATGTATCCAGCTGGTAACATTAAAAGGTCTTAAGATGATTGTGCAAGTATGGACCCTCAAATAAAACTGTTGCTTTTTTATAAGGAGAACTAGCCATTTACTCCTCAAGAATGACAGGAAGAAGGGGAGCAGGTGGGGATGGAGCCCCAGGCCCTCCGGGCCTGCTCCCCCTTCCCTCCTGCTCCTTGGGTCCAGGCCCGCTGTCCCCCTCCCCACCGCAGTGGCAGGGGGAAGGGTGGAACAGGCCTGGGCCTGATGCAGGGGAGGACCGGACCCAAAGGCGGGGAGAAACCGGGCCACCCAGCAGTGGCGGGGGCCGGGATGAGCAGGGTCGGGGCTAATGCAGGGGAGCGGCAGTGGGGGAGGAGTGGGCCCCGGCCCAATGGTGGGAGGAGGCTCACTTCTCCCCTCCCCCTGCAACTGGCATGTTGGACCGGGCCAGGCCAGGCCCGCTGCCTCCCCCCTACCGCTGTGGCAGGGCGGCTTTTCCCTCCGGCTTGGGCTCACTCCTCACCCTAACGAGCCAAGGTCCAGTCCTCTCCTGGCCCCACTGTCACCACTAACACCACAGCGCACTCATTCCCACTCCCCCACCCCGGCCTCAGGGCCGCTCAGGGACGAGAGGAGGGGGCTCGGGGCCGATGTGGGGGAGGGGGTTGGGAAAGGAGTGGGCCCAGGCCTGAGTGGGGAGGCCTCCTCCTTCCCTCCCCCAGCTGCTGCTGCGGTCGCATCACGTGGAGCCTACTGTTTCCCCACCGCGACAGGCTGGCTTCTCCCCCGCTCAGGCCCACTCCCCTGTCCCCCCTGCATTACTTGCAAGGAGCAGGGCAGGGGTCCCCTTCCGTCCGCTCTGTTGCTGCCGCCTCCAGGGAGCAGGCCGGGGGGGGGGGGGGGGGGCGCCAGGCCAGCCCCCTCCATCCTGTGTCTCCACCATCATGGCGGCGGGCTGCCTTCTGTCAGGACGCTTCTTCGCGCTCTGTTTGGCCTTTTGTCTGGAAAAAGAAAGCACCTCCCAGCTACCCCAAGAGCCAAGGACACCAGGTAACTTTAACACAACTTATCTATGAATACCTGGAAGAAGATGGTGGGGACCTCCCGCAGAGTTCTCGCTAAACCACTGGCTGCACCAGAATGGGGTGAGCAAAAGATAAAAGGCCTTACTATTTCTACCAGCCTACAAGATGGTTCAACATATTTCCTTTGGTCTACTTTGTAAAAGTTATGATCTTTCAGGAGCATGTTAGGTTTTCCTAATTATTCTTTCTTCCAAAGTATAAAGAAACACACTAACCTCTTGCTGCATGGAATCAAGTATTTATTAAATGAACAAACCTTTAGCATTGACTCCTTTATCTATATATACTGAGTTCAGAGTTCATAGTAATAGTTTCTGGGAGAATCCCAGGGCATCAGAATCCCAATAAATTTCCCAACTCAGGACTACAGACCTGAAGTTTGTGATCTCACGATCTATAGTTGTGACCCACAAAGAAAATGAAAATGAAAATATTCTTAAAATCTGTACTTAAAATCTAAGCCTACAGCTTAAGGTACTTAAGCTTCGCAAAGTAGTTAAGTATTGTTTTGGCAAATGCATAAAGAAATGTGTTTTGTTTTCAGTCTGTACATATCTAAATGGGAAGATAAAAGCTATTCCAAGTAGAGTTAGAACTTGATCTTGAATGACTAGTACATTATTAATGTACTAGACCATTCCCAATACACGACTTAACAGAAGCAAAACAAACACGAACTGGTCAAGTTCATTTTATGTGGAAAAGATGTGAATCACTTCCGTCATTTATACATTCAAACAAACGGAAAATTTATTGTAAGAGTAATACATTTAATGTGCATCATTAAAAATGATCTAGAAAGATTACTTCTGTACAAAATTCATGCAGTCTTGTCCACATGATGGCTGGTATCAACCGTATTTTAAGTATTTAAATACTTTCAGCTGATATCTTTGAGTATATTTTATTCTGCCTATTACTGAAGCTCTGTAGCCCATCACTGAACTCCAGTTTCCATTAACTTTCTGTTTTTATGAGTTCTTTGATGATGTGTAAAATCTTGTCATCTAGGAAGGAAAACACCAAAGTTAAGTAGAAAAGAATTGAAAAAAAAAAATCAATAAATATGTATAAAAAAAGCAGAAGACGGGAGGTAGCTCTCAACAATCTCCCAAAATCTTAATGATTAGTGAGGCTGTATCAGATCAATGCACCCCCAAAGTTACAAAATTATAAAACTGTACACCTACAAGCATGTAAACACTGCAGACTGTTACAGTACATGTTGCTTCCTAATGAACCGCCTGTTACTGTTCTGATGGATCAGAAGGAAGATGGACAAAAATAAAAGAAGGGGAAACCTACAGAAGTTACATTAGCATACTTCATCCCAATTCAGTTTTTACCTCTTGACAAATTCCTGAAATTTTAAAGGTGTAGGTTATGCTTCTATCGATTACTTTGGGAGTTACTTAGGTCCTTGCACATTATTGGTAAGCACTGTGCAATGTCACTATCATACACTGTCCCAGAGTTGTGTGACAGCTATGGAGAGATATCGGAATTCATCCATGCCCACAAGAACATAATGTGAGTTCACTTCTACACTGAGAAACAGAAACTAAATCATTATTACTGGTACTATTAATGATTTTTACAAAAGTCAGTCTATTCCAGAGACATCTTTAACTGGGCAGTCAGTAAATGTAATCTCTGAAAAATTATAACGCACTTCACCCTTGTCCCAGAATACATTCTTTGTGTATATACTGTGTATAATTAACCTGCGCATTTATGCCAATACTATGATGATAGTTACCTTCAAGCGACATTTTAGGATTTTCAAGCTTTTTCTTTAAAACAGACTCAATCAGAACTCTCAGTTGTTTGAAAATTACTGCAATCTTTACAGGGGCCTGTAGAGTGCAAAAAACAAAAAAGATGACCAAACATTTACATTATATTCAAAAGTAACCCCTTTTATTTTGGTAAAAAGAAGCTAAGAGGTTATACATCATACAAGAGATCAAGCATTTTAAGCACTGACAGCTCCTGTATTTCTTCTGCTATTTGGTAGCATTTACAGAGAATACACTGCAGGATGTCCTGTTTTCATTTAGAGCCTTAAATTAAATGCATTTAGAAAATACACATTACATTTATTCCATTTCCAAAGATGGTTATTTATTTCTTTGATCCATTCATTCAAGGTCTTAGATGTTTAACATTTCACCTATTTCACCATCCTAAAATTAATCTCAAGTGAATTATAAAGTAATGGATTACACATAGTCTTAAAGATAAGCAGACATCTACATGTTCATAAGATTGGGACCTATGTCTTCAAAATATTCTCAGCTTTTTATAAGCTCAGTTGCCATTTATTTGCTTTTAACATTTCAACCCCCCCATAAAACCAGCTTAAGTTATGGACAGTTCAAGTAGCACGTTCTCCTTAAAGACAACGTTGTCATAAACAAAGGGTAAAGGCTCGCTTTCTTAAATATATATAATCTCCAGCATACTATCGTTACATTTAGATATATATTTAACAAATTACCATTATTTATTTAAGTCACTAATTTGCTGCCCTGTGCATGTCTTTCAACAGCATAATGAAATGAGCTCAAGCTCATGCTATCTACCTCTGATTTAGTTAGTCTATAATGTGCAAATCTACCTTGCTTTCTGCCTGACTTCAGATGAACATAGCTAACTGTACTCATGGATGGCACCATGCTCAGCCAAACAAAACAAACTGCAATCAATATACAGAAGAAACTTGCTAAGGTACACTCAGATATATCTTCTTTCTGACCAGACGTAAACAAATTAATATCATACCCAAGGGACTCTAGGTGACTAATCCACTCCATTCTACATACCACACAGCCTATTCTGACAAGCTGTTTCACTCTCTCCAGGAAACTGAGGAACCCCTTTTTGTCAGTGTTCTGTACAGCAAACGGGAACAGACCTGTAGAACTAGCAAAATGAATACAGAATGATCCAGACACAACAGCCTTTTACTGGGAGAACTCTGTATCTAGCTATGATGACCGTCTCAAACAACTTTACTCCTTAAAGAAGATGAAGGAAGCAAACTTTCCATACTTGCATACTCAGCAACAACCCTATCTACAGCAGGCACTCTCAACCTAGTTCTCGTGAGCACCACAGCACTCTCATGATTGTATAAACTGCTCTCCAACAAGTCAAAAAACAGTGCTAAAAACACTCGCAATCACGTTGAAAATCACATCGAAAGGTGTAATTAATGATGAGATGATGATCTATTTCCTTACATCTATTTGATTTACGTTTAATGCTCTATGAAAAAGGCTAAGTCATCGCAGTGCTCATTAATGAAAAAAGGTTGAAAACCCCTGATCTACAGTAATGTCATCAGCTTATCCAACCACATACGCAGTCCAACTAAGGCATCTGTACTATCCTATGGTCTCTTTCTGCCCCACTCCACAGTCCAACAAAGTGCAGCTGTATGGAAACCTCAAGGCTTTTTTCTACCACCTAAAACTAAGGGACTATTTCCATGATGAGGAACTATGCAGTGATCAACCTGCCACAAACAAAATTCACGCACAGGACAGGAACAAGGCCAGCTCCTGGACTCCACCTGAGGGCAGTAGCCCCACTCTGGACCTGTATATAAATTGTTTTTATCCCATGCCCACTCTGAGATTGCAAAAAACCCAACATTTACATTACAACCTCAGTCCTGCAGATTGGAGAGTCACACTTAGCCTTAAAATAACCCAGATATCAAACAGGCTGATTTGGGAGGGGAGAGGCGGGAGGCGGTGGCACTGATGTCATGGACAAAACAATGTACATACAGGAAGCTAAGAGAACTTGCCAACATGGAGTTTTACAAATTCCTCACTGAGGATCCCACAGCACAATACCAGGAAGAATTAAACAATCTCTTAACTATGTTACCTCTGCAAACAAGGGAGAGAATTCATGCTTCCACCCCGCTAGGTCAGGCAATTTTTACTTACTACCCAAGATCTATAAACCAGGCAACCCAGTATGCCCCACTGTCTCTCACTGGCACCATCACAGAGGTAGTTTCTGGCTATGCCGATTCTATCCTGTCCCCATGTCTTTGGAGCTGCCAGATATCTGAAAGATACCACGGTTGTCTTCAAGAAACTGGGCTCCACTGATAAGTGTCAAGCAAATACTATGGATGTTACATCTCTGTACACCATCCCCCATAAGGATGGATTACTATCCATAAAGAACATTATCCTCATGGAGGACACTGCTTCCATTTCCATCACACTCTCTTGTTTTGTCTTTGCACACAATCATTTCAGATTTGGGGACTCACTATACCTATAAATGAATGGCACTGCCATGGGCACATGTATGGCCTCCAATGTGCCAATATATTTGTGACAGACCTTGAAGTCCATTTCTTCTGCAGCTGCCCTCATCACCTAAGGTGCACTGATGACATCACATTGAAACATGGGCAGGAATTTTTAGAGAAATTACCAGGACTTTGATAGAGGGTTGTAAGTTGTTAGACTAACACTGGAATACAACAAATTCATTTCCTAGAAACTATAGTGAAGTGTTCAATAGCCACAATGCCACCACACTGTACAGGAAACCTACTGACCTCCACAGCTGCCTTCAAGCCATCAGCTTCGACCCTAAACACACCACGAGATCCATAGTCTACAGCCAAGCTGTATGTTACAATCATATCTGCCCTGATCCCACTGACTAGGATGTACATGTTAAGGATCTAGAGTAGGGATTCCTAAAATTACAATACAATCTCAAAATTGTAGCCACTCAAATCAACAAGCCGGACTCAAACCTCACTCCGATCTGCTACAATACCAAGCCCAGGACAATAAAGTCCCTCTGGTTGCCATCTATAGCCCCCAGCATGAACACCCTAGATCAGGGGCAGGCAATTATTTTGGACAGAGGGCCGCTTACTGAGTTTTGGCAAGCCATCGAGGGCTGCATGACAGGCAGCCCAGGGCAGATAAATATTAATTTTCTAAATTTTTTAGGGGGCCCGCGGGCCGGATAGAATGGTCTGGCGGGCCACATCCAGCCCCCAGGCCACATTTTGCCCACCCCTGCCCTAGACTCATCATTATGACCTCCAATGCCACCTGTAAAAGGACAACTGTTTCAAGGTAGCTATGGAGGACATACCTGTCCTGGTTAACAAGCAGCCTTTTAACCTCAAACAACATCTCAAACAACCATCTACCCAACTCGTACTCTCACTGAGGTACCAGGTCTTGCAATGGACCCAGATGCAAGCTGTGGTCCCTCATCAATATGAACCACATCATCACTGGAGCACATAACATGAACTATAACATCCCAGATTCATTCACTGCACTTCTACCAATATTGTAAGCCATAATGTGTTTACAGTGCACCTCTGCTGTCTACACTGGACAGACAGGGCAGTCCCTACCGGCAATCCCTACCATTCTACCTGTGGCTAACACAAACAGGATGCGTTTCAATACGGACAAGTGCAGGGTGCTGCACTTGGGCAGTAGTAACTGGCAGCACACTTATAAGTTGGGAAACTCCCTTCTTGAGAGCACGGAGGCAGAAAGGGATCTTGGAGTCATCATTGACTCCAAGATGAAGATGGGCCAACAATACGAGGTCACGGTCGGCAGGGCTAACCGGACCCTATCGTGCATCCACAGGTGCATCTCAAGTAGGGCCAAGGAGGTGATCCTCCCCCTCTACGCGACACTGGTCAGGCCACAGCTGGAGTACTGTGTCCAGTTCTGGGCACCCCACTTCAAGAGGGATGTGGACAACATTGAGAGGGTCCAGAGGAGGGCCACCCGCATGATCCGGG